CTGGCGAGGAGAGTGGTTGGACGAGAAGGCAGTCTCGAGTGAAATTCTGTAACAGTAAGGGAATATCCATGGGGTCAAATGTCTTGTTCTACCAAAACAACATGTTCTTTGCGCTCCATTAACTTCGTATGACAGCCCCTGATCGTGCTTGGGGCTTAGAGGCAAGGCGTAGGCAACTTATTTCTGATGGTGAATGGGGGCGTTGAAGCTCTGACATTTGGTGCCCTTCCATCCACCGTTGTTGCACATTTGTGGGACAGCGATAGTAGTTTGGCAGTGAAGCATGTTTGCAGTGCCAGCGTACTACTATTGGTGACGATGACGAGGATGCGACAGATATGGGTCTCGGAAGACAATATGCCAGATGTCTCATTAACGCTACCCGGATAAGTGGCCAGCTAATGTTCTCAAAATCTCTCCCTCTCTCTCTCTCTCTCTCTCTCTCTCTCTATATATATATATATATATATATATATATATATATCACAATCTGTGTACAGATATTGTGCCATCGGAACCATGGCGGAATAGGAACAGGGGGTCAGAGTAAAAGAAAAAAGAAAACACACAACTTTCGTGCTTTTTTACATTCACAGTTTTTGTGTTTTTTATTGGGGGAGGGAAGCGGAATCACCGCAATTAGCTGAGATACACGCCCGCCATTGAGTTCAGTTTAGAGCCATGCCTTCTAACGTTTCCAACTGGCTGCACTCAGCATCCTTGGGACCCCATCCAGGGAGTCAGGAGGAACCAACCGTGATCAGCTGTTTCGTCAGGTTTTCCATCCTGATTCTCCAAGTTGTAGGCTGTCCACTACGCCACCTCATCCAACCCTGTCCAGCGACCGCGAACAAGACACGATGCTGAAGACGTTGAACGGGCATACGCAGTACGTGTCCGAGTCATCGTAGTGGGCGCAGCGAGACAAACCACTGAGGGAGTGCCTGTCGCCACCAAAGACACGCTGTCTTACTTCAGCGTTGGTTACGTGGTTCAGCCACCACACATGGACGATGGACCGCAAGCAACGCTTTTCAAAGACAGACATTAGACGTAGATCATCGGTATGAGCAGGCCAAGCTTCGCAACCGTACAACAGCACAGCGCCGAAAGTAACACTGTAAACCAGTCCTTTGAAGGAGAGACGGATATCATGGCGGCGCCATAAATGCCTCAGCCTGGAGAAGGCGAGACGAGCTCTTGAGATATGCAACGAACTCACATTTCCAACAACCCCACCAGCAGTTATGTAGCTTCCCACGTAGACAAAACTCTGTACTACTTCTAACGTTTCCCCATCGATGGTGAGTGCAGGTAGAGGCGTATACCAGTATTGAAAAAGTGCTTTGCACTTGGATGGTGAAAAGTGTATGCCATACTTCGACGCTTCAATCGCCTGACGGTTAAGTGTAAGTTGGACGGCCTGCAGACCGTTACCCAACATGACGATATCATCAGCCTAATCCAACTCAACCATCTGACTACCTAGGAGGTGCCCAACATCAGCGTTCAACAAGTCATTTAGAGCATTTATGAGTACATCCTCAATGGCAAAGTTGAAGAGGAGTGGAGAGATAGAGCATCCTTGTCGAACCCTAATGGTGACAACAAAGAAAGGCGAAAGTTTGCCATAAGCTCTAACTCTACCTGAGGTCAGACTGTACAGAGCGTGCAAGATGAAAACGAACTTCCATGGAATACCATTCCTCAACAGACCGTGCCACAATGCAGCCCTGTCGACAGAATGGAAGGCAGCACGGATATCCAGGAACACAACAATCGTTGGGTTTTGATCCACATGGCGGAACTCGAGCATCTGACTGTGAAAATCTGATCGATGCAGCCGCGACCAAGGCGAAACCCAGCCTGTTCTCGTTGTAGTGATCCACGCGTTGGGGATAGCCTGCGAAGAATGATGGACACCAGAATCTTGCAAACGACGGGTATCAAACTTATGCCCCCTGTGATTGGAGCAATTTGTGCGCAGGCCCTTTTTGAAGATAGGGACGACTATCGAATCCCTCTAGAATGATGGAACCTCCTCTTTTGTCCAGGCTTCTGATAACAAAGTGATTTCTCGAACCAGCAAAGAGCCTCCATCTTTAAATTGAGCAGAAGGTAGACCATCAGGTGATACAAAGTATACCTCAACTCCTGCTATCATTTGCAGCAGCAACACATACTCAAAACGGCGAAATGTGTCTTTCTGGGGAGCAGCACAACTGCATAGTTAACTTTCGGACATACTTATCAGTCAGGAGTGATGTGGAAAGGAGTGGACGGACAGTAGTAAACAAAAGGCTTATTCTTAATCTACAGCCACGTCCATATCTCCGGCGATTTTGACGTGTACCACCTGGAATACTCGGCATCTCCCAGTGAAACATCCAAGGCAGAATTGTAAAACCTTATCACACCATGTCAAGTACCAAGTACTGAGCTGATAAAAAACCAGCGGTACACGACCTCGTACATACAAATGAGGTATTCATGCTCGACAGGTCATTTATAGATAACCCACTAGGGCAAAGTGATCAAGTCACAATCCTTTATAACTATGTGTGCTACGCTGAATATCCAGAAGAACAAACAGAACCAACACGTGTCATCACACGCTACAACATCCTAAACAATCTGCTTACGAGGAGCAATTGGCTCACCTGACAGCGCCTGAATTCAGTTTGTTGGACGCTTCAGCAATCTAATCGCAACTGCTTCAGATGCGAAGAGGATTCGTTCCACAAATCCATCCTGATTCACCAGAAGTAGAACTCAGAAATACGTATCACCAAGGAATGCAGCTTGGCACACTCACGGAGCCCGTCCTGGTGCCGAAACCTGGAGCGCCTACGTGACTAAGCACAACCAGTGTAGTATGGTTGTCCGCGAGGAAAAATTGATTCGTCAACAACATTTGACTTCCAAATTTGTCAACAACCAAAAGCTCTTGTGTAAGCATGTTAACACCATTCGGAAAGCAAAGCACTGTGCCACCCCAATCAACACGATAGTCGGAGTGGCACAGAGCATTGAAGCAGCAGCCAACGCACTATGAGTGCAGTATGCTCCGACCTACCAACCATAAGTTAGCCACTGTTAGCTAACCATATCACTAGCCCCAATTTTATTAGTACTAACGTCGCCTTTACTGCCATCTCTGTGTTGAAAAAACCGTTTTCACTACGCACCTGTAATCCTCTCGGAATCGATGACATCCACCCAACAGCACTGAAGATAGCAGCAGCAAGGCTGGCCGAGCCTTTATTCGTATATTTTCCAAACGTGCTTGTATGCGCAAACCATGTCTACCATGTGGACACATGGTCCAATCACGCAATTCTCAAAGGTGGCAATCACTCGAAACTCGCGAAGTGTCGCCCAGTGGTGATCCTCCCTGTACTATCAAAGATGGTAGAGGCAATCATCGCTGGAGCCTTAGTTGACCATCTAGAAGGATGCAACATCTGCCCCATGAGTTGCACGGTTTCCGCCAAACCGGTTCTTGCACAACCAACCTACTGATTGCACGCAGTAGTTGGACGGGAGCGGTCGATAGAGGTATGAGAACCGAAGTCATTTACATTGACTACTCCAAAGCCTTCGACCCACTGGACGAGCACATTTTGGTGGTCGCGCGGCAGCGAAGCGCCATTACGGCGTGCAGCTGACACAGTATTATTATTATTATTTTTTACAGGCTCCAATGCTTTGGATTTGGGTATACTGTCCTCGGGTGGATCAGGAGTTTCCTACAGAATCGGAAACTGCAGGTCTGAGTTCGAAGTGCGCTTTATGATCCGATTCATGTCGAAAGTGACGTTCACAAGGATCAGTTCTGGGGCGCATCTATTTCTCGTGTCTAGTAACGAGCTTGCCCACTTGATTGAATCGGATCTCGTGTAGTTCGCTGATGATGTTAAGGGTGTGGTGGGCGATCGCCGACTAAGGAGACCATTATGCACTCCAGCGAAACCTGAACTGGGCGTATGAATAGTCCCTCCACAATCTGATCAAGTAGAATTCGTCCAAGATGGCCCATATTCTTCACCAGCTGAACACCATATACAATCTTGAAGACCATGCTTTGCAAGCAGTCACCCAGAAGCGCGACCTTGGAGTATTAGTCCAGGCTGATTTGGGATGTCATGATCAATTTGAGAAGGCGTTACAGACTGCAAACCAACACATTGGCATGCTGCAGAGAGCACTTGGGCGGTTTGATCCGTCTGTCTGTTCGCAGTTGCACAACACATAAGCGTGGCCTCACGTGGAATACGCAATCCAAGCATGGAAGCACAAGAAAGAACTCGCAGCGTCTGAGGCTGCACAGCGAAGAGCCACCAAGCAGGTCAAAGGGTTGTTCCACCTTCTATATCAAATTAATCTGAGGACCCTAAGGTTGTAGAACGAATGGTATCAGCGCCTACGTGGCTAACTAATAATGGCATCCCAGATTTTGTGGGACGCTAACCACATCTGCCGCCACTTCCTGCAACTCAGTCATAACACAATTTCGAGGAGCCACCAGCTCAAATCGGCCACGCAGTACAGTAGGCTAGAATGTCGGCGAAACGTACTTCTTGTCTACAAGCCCTGGAACGCCTTTCCCAAATATGCTGTTTCTGCCCACAAGTTATCAATGCTTAAAAGACGTCTCGACGTTGCCCAAACCCACCTCCATTACCAGATATAGCTAGTGTACACCGAGAGACGACATAATGTGACGAATGTTGCACAACGAAAACTAACCTACTCAATCGAGGTTGCCTGTTTTCTGCCTGCCTCTGTGTGCACACCGTGCTGAGTCCATTAAAACAATTTTCATTTTGTTAATCTGTTTTCACCTCACCATTTTGTGGTTCTGGTTCTGACCACCCCACGCGACTTGCCAAACGAGTACCCTTCCACCCGTAATATATCGTTGTTCCATTGATTCTAATAACCATTATAAAACAAGCATTATTGTATAGGTGAACAAAGCGATGTTCAAATACACTAACCATATCAGAAGTTAGATGGGGACGAACGAATACGAGGAATAAGGACCACCAGTAGGCAAGCATCCCCGACGTTCTGGAGATTGACCGTCGGTTAGGACTGGCCGCCAGAAGCGCAGTGCAGGCAGTTGCGGTGCAATTCTTTGCTGCAGAAGGACGGTGCCATGGCTTGATTGGACCGGCAAAATGAGCCACCCTAATGGAGCCGCCAAAGTGTACCCACGCCGGAGGGCTTGTGTAGAATTCCAGCACAGGTTCATCTGTGATACGACATATACAGTTGTATATGTAGGGGAGACGGCGCATGCTTCCTCGATTCATCCAATCAGAGAAATAAGTGTTCAGTAACCCCTGCAAAATAGAAGAGGCCATCAACACTAGTTAGCGACTTCTATTTAAAAAGTAAAAATTATACTTTGGAAACGAAAAGCATTAAAAAGCAGCAAGTCAAATATTATTGCTCTGTAAATGGATGCTGTGTGATGTCCGCTGCGAATAGTAGAACTTTAAATGTATACCTTTCATTCGTAGCCCCAGCGACTCGTATATATTTATATATACATATATATATATATATATATCCCAGTCACTGGGGCTATGAATGAAAGCAAACTGAAACGTTTGCAACATGGCCAACTTAGTACAGGGAAGAGCAATATGGGCAAACCGAAGCTACGCTACTAGAACATGTTTAGGATGGGTTTATCAAAAACTACTGTTGGGTTTAGTTGTTGGGAAACAATGGCAGCGGACCAATGCCAATGGCGTGAACACATTAAGAATGCGCTTGCTTCATCATCATCATCATCATCATGCACATTAGCTGGAGGTGGGGAACACCTCAGCTACTGTGCCGCAATACATAGAAAAAAGGAGAAACAATGCAACTGGTGCAAGCCGGCTGAGCTACCGGTAACGGATGGGCATCTTTCCAGTAAGTTACAAGCCGGCTACCGTGCATCAAAAAAAGTACTATGCAAAATTACATAAGGCTAAATAATGAGATCGTGGTTGGTGGGGGAGGCAAAGAGGGATGGAGTGGGAAAAAGAAACTCAGAGCACGAACGCCACTGAGGTCGGCTCCTAGCCATATCAGCAAGTGTGTCCAACCAAACGTGTTCATCGTCTTTCGGACCCCAACCAGGCAGAAGAGATGCTCCAACCGAGGCCAGCTCAGAAGTGAGGGCCTTCATTCCTCTCGACCAAGTCATCGCTTGGCCACCCCTCCACTTCTTCCATCCACACCCCCGGGCGCGCAAACAACGCACGTCGCGGGAGTCGGTGGGCTGGCATGCGTAACACGTGGCCGAGCCGTCGTCAGAAAATACCGTTGCTTCAGAACGAAAATTGTCGGTTATGGAAGTGAGAAGCGCCTATCGAACCAAACCCATCGACGTCAGGCACGTGGAGTAGTAGCATATGCGGTCGTGTGTGCCTCAATCAAACCGGTTTGGTAATCCATCAACGTGGCCACGAGGGGCTAATCTCGACGAAGTAAGCGCTCATTGGAGACAATTGATGGTCACTGGTCACATGTCCACCAGACCTTAATAGCAGCAGGTAAATCCTCATGTGGTATGTCTAATAACCAACATGGTTATTGGGTCTTTTCGCAGTCTCTGGAACTTATCGATGCGCGCCGGCATATCCCGGCTAGAAGCGAACACAATGAAACTCGCAAAGAGCTCCGGGTAGGACTCCGTACTAGCCTGGAGAGAGACAGCGAACCTTAGTGGTCTCATCGTGCCCAAAGATGGAAGTGGCCGCTGCCCTTGGCAACCATCGTAAGTTATTCCGTCTGATACGGGAAACGGGCAACAGGAGAGCTGGTGTTAGTGAAACTATACGTGACGAGAGTGGACAGCCTATCCACAATTTGTCAAAACGCTTGGAGCGTTGGGATGAGCATTTTGAAAAGCAATTTAATCGGCTAGAATTGTTCGCCTCTTCGCCGGCCAGTGATCGCCCTGCTCCGTGGGCTGTCCCTTTTGATCCACCCTCTCGCCCAGAAGTCAAACGTGAGATCGGACTGTTGAGGTTGAACAAAGCCGCGGGACCAGATGATATTCCTCCAGCCTCCTTCAAATTCGGTGGCTCTGCTCTTGTTGATGCTTTACATGAATTACTAGTGAAACTGTGAGTGCACGAGATTGTTCCAACCGACTGGAGCCGCTCCGCTATTGTTCCAATCTTCAAAGGAGGCTCGCGTTCGGAATGCGGCAACGATAGAGGAAGCAGACTGATCTTCATCGCCTCCAAATTACTCGCGTCCATAATCCTGCACAGACTGAATGGCGCTCGTGAAAGCCAGGTTCGTGAGGAGCAAGCCGGGTTTCGTCGTAGTCGTGGCTGCATCGACCACATCTTCACCTTGTGTCAGTTGTTGGAGCACCGTCACACATATTGGCGGCCCACCGTTGTCGTGTTCCTCGACGTCAAAGGTGCCTTCGATTCCGTTGATCGATGTGCATTTTAGAATTGCCTACTCACGAATGGTGTGCCCGAGAAATATGTAAATATTATCCGAGCATTATACGCGCGTAGCTCGGGCAGAGTGAAGGCTTACGGCAAGCTGTCGCCACCCTTTAATATCTCCAGCGGTGTGAGACAAGGATTCCCGCTGTCACCTTTCCTATTCAACTTCGCTATTGACGAAGTCATGGAGATTGCATTTACAGGACATGACTTGGAAGGTGTGGAGATACTCCCAGGAGAACGACTTCTTGACTTGGAGTATGCAGACGACATTGCCCTCATCTGTGACAGCTCCCAGACGTACCAAGCCGCGCTGGACAGATTATCACTGGCTGTCAGCCGCTTCGGGCTTTGCTTTGCACCTTCGAAATGCAAAGCGTTCCTTCAAGCTTGGCAAGGATCGCCTCCTGCGCTGATCCTTGGTGGGGATCAGCTAGAAGTCGTTCGGAAATTCAACTACCTGGGAAGTTGTATAAGCGCCCTTGCGATCGAACACGAGATTACGAACCGTATTGCAAAAGCTCGAAGTGCTTTTGCTAGTCTTCGTCACCTATGGCGGCGGCGCGACATTACTCTCGCCCTGAAGGGTAGAGTGTACAATGCAGTGGTACGTTCGACCTTACTGTACGGTTGCGAAACCTGGCCCCTTATATCAGCGGACATCAAGAGGCTAGTTGCCTTCGGCCATCGGTGCCTTCGCAGTTTGGCTCACATCTGGTGGGAACACCGCGTGAGTAACGAGCGTGTTCGACGCCTTGTTTACGGCCCAGGAAAAGGAACTGAACCGCCCAGCACCGTCGTTTCACGCAGCAGGCTCCGATGGTTGGGCCACGTATTGCGCATGTCTGGCCATCGACTTCCACGACGTGCGTTGTTTGGGGATGTGGATGGAACAAGACGAGGGGTGACCAAGCGATGACTTGGTCCAGAGGAATGAAGGCCCTCACTTCGGAGCTGGCCTCGGTTGGAGTGTCACGGCTCCCTGGTTGGGGTCCAAAAGACAGTGAGCACGCTTGGCTGGATACACTTGCTGAAATGACAAGCAGTCGACCTCAGTGGCGTTCCTGCTGTGAGTTTCTTTGTCCCTCACTATCCCTTTTAGCCTCCTCCTCCATCTACGATCTCATTTCTTAGCGTAAAACATAGTATTTTTTTCTTTTTGCCTAGTAGCCGGCTGGTAGCTTACCGGAACGCTGGCTATCCGTTGCCGGTAGTGTTGTAGTTATTTTCCTTTTCCTTTATGTATTGCGGCACAATAGCGGAGGTGTTTTCCCACCTCTAACTGACGTGTATATAATAAATAATAATAAATAATAAGTATCAGCGCTTGGAAAGTACACTGATTCCGATTCCACTAATTAACTCATGCCGATGCAGATGCGGCAGATGGTACTAATTCCTCGCTGCAGTTGGTCCGTACGTGTGCCCGTTTCTATATTTTCGCATTTTAGATATTTGCTTATTGGAATCCCTGGTATAGCTGCGCTTGATGTGAATACTAGCAATGGCTCTAACTGCCTTAACCTGCATCTTGATTAATGGCCCCATAAACCATTAATCATTGTTGGGGGAGATGGACTGCATGGTCTTGGTGACGGTGCGAGACTAGAAGATTGGTTAGATCCAGTGTGGAACAGGCCACGGCCCGACTACCGCTCTGTGTGCATCTGGTATACATGTTCCTGCCTGTTCAAGTGAATGTTTTGCATATTGGAGCAGTGTGGGCTGGTCCCGTTGATGAAAGGTGGCTACGATCTGCATGCCTCCCGATCTTAGTCTTCCTGGTTCACACTGGATATAGGGCATGTGGACAGAGTTGCAGCGCAAGCCACCTATGGTCCGGCTGTAGACTCATGCGTTCTGTGGCTAGCCGCAGTTGCTGCAACATACCAATGGGTGCCGACAACCAGTATACGCAACCATGTGCCCCCGGAAACAGTTAACTGATTTTCCATTGGGAAAATGGATGTTAACCCTTCGTGTCTTGGTGGTACGTATGAGTATCACTTTGTTGATATTGTGTAATACTGATTCAGCGCAAGCGTCAATCCTGCCGGTGCTCGCGACGATACGTACAATAGCCTTCTGTCAACAAGTAAGTAAGGGCCAGAACTCCGATACTTTGCTCTACAGTGTATGGAGTAAAAATTTGAGGTTCATGTCAAGCTATAGGTAAATTAATTCAGGACTCAAAGGGTTAAACCTGTTCCACAAGAGTGTAGGTCTACTGACACGCTAACGCCTCAACCTGGTCGGCCATTCCTGGTGCTAGCTGCCTGACGAGATGAATTGATGTAGTGAACACTCGCAATCTCTTCTGTCGGTGGAAGTGCTAAGTCATTTGACGACATGAAGCAGATCACTGGGGGCATTTGGCCACTTTGATTTTGAACCGACCACTAACTAATAGCATTATTGGTTGGTATGTGGCTGCGTTGGCAGGTAAGTAATCTCTCATGAGGCTGATAAATAGTCCGCTTCTGTCGCTAAAGGTTAAACAGCGAGAACTTTTTATACATTGCTAGTGTTATCAGCACTGCGCCAGTACTTAGTACCAAGGTTACGCAAACACACAACAACCAATATGATAGTGAGGGATCATCACTCCTATTTATCAGGGAAATAGTCGCACAGACCTTACCAATTACAGTCCGAGAACGCTGCTTCCTGTGCTTTCCAAAGTTATGGAATCAATCATCGAAGATGCACAAATGAAATATCCGGAAAATCATGGCCTAATAGCTCCGGAAAAAACATGACTATCACCACAAGCATTCGTGCACGACTAACCAAATAATTACACGCAGTAGCTGGACTGAAGTAGCTGATTGGTGGAGCGTCTGATCGCTTAGATCACCGAATCCTAGGTCATAAAATTCAGAACTACGGCATCGGTAATCCAATCCTGCGCTGGATAACTAATTTTCTACACGAAGATCGGTTGGAAGCGACAGTCCGGGAATATCTGTCCGACGTAATTGATGTGGAGTGCGGTGTACCACAAGGCTCAAAAGTTGGATCTCGTTTATTCTTGGTTTTCATAAACGATCTAGCGAGGCCAATTATTTTCGATTTCCTATTTTCCGCAAATGATATCAAGGTATGACGAGCGATCAGAGGACTGGAGGACCACGAAGGGTTTCAGTGTAGTCTTAACACGATTTCGAACTGGTCAGTTCAAAATGCCCAACAATTCAACGTAAGACCATCTGGTGAGCAAATGCTTTCAATGATTCACTGAAGAACTGAACACAGCATTTGGCTTCAGCAAGCATTTGCTCACCAGATGGTCTTTTGTTCTAGAGACTTAAATGGGATTTTTCAAGTTTTTTAAATCATCCAAGCCCCCATTAGTGGTGAAGGAGCTCAATCAGTTCCTTAAGTTCACCACTAAGCTTGCTGAAGCCAAATGCTGTGTTCAGTTCTTCAATGAATCATTGAAAGCATTTGCTCACCAGATGGTCTTTTGTTCTAGAGACTTAAATGGGATTTTTCAAGTTACTTAATTCAACGTAAATAAGTGTCGTCTTGTTCACCTACACCTACAGGCATTGGCTTGGAGCACACAGATTGTAGACCAGCTTCCAGGAACGTGACCTTTGTGTCCTCGTACAGCGTGGCCCCAACTGTTCAAAACAGGCTGAGGCAGCTGCGAATAGAGGCGACAAACACGTCGGCCTGTTAAGAAGGGCATTCTGGAGATTTGACCCATCAATCTTCCCAGTGATACACCATACCTGTGTACACCCTCACGTTAGATACACCATCCAAACCTGGAAATCTCGGTCGAATTGCGATCCAGAGGCACCATGATGCAGAGCAACAAAAATGTCAACGACTTACGTAATCACTCTTTTCAGCGAAGGCTGAAGTTAGCGGGAGTTTTCAGCGGACGCTACCGAAGGTTACGCGGCGAGCACATATTAGTGTACCAAATATTGATTGACCCTACCATATATCCCGTCATTTGTTGGAATTTAGCCACAACACCAAGCTCAGATATAACTGCCTGAAACTGAGTTAACAATACATTTATCTAGAGTGTCGACGGAATTGATTCTCGGGCTTGCCAACCCTGGAACTTTCTCCCAAACTAAATTGTTTCCTCCCCTACTTAGGATATTTTCAAAAAATGATTGGATAATGCTCTTAGCTCCCAGCACTTCTTTACCTATCCTGCACTATTGGGGATTAAATTAATCATGCCAAATGAGTAAGCGACCATATTTTACTTCTAATGCATTGTACGTCAGCGAGCACTGCACCAAGTGTTGTTCTGTATGCTTGCATGCAATTTTTATTTTACGCTAACGTTATTAAGCAACGCGGCTGACTCCGTAGACGCTCGGTAGATGAGTCACACACATTTTGATTTTGTAGTATTCACCCCAACCATCCTACGGGACTCGTCAAGCACTTGCTTTGTAAGCTGTGATAGATCACAGGTTATTGTGAAAAAGCACTGATTTCGGAAGCCGTAAAGTGTAGGAAGTGGTATGCAGAATTGTCCCACTATTCCAAACGAAACTATTCAAGGACGAGGCTTGTCAGTTCACTGTGATACAGCGGCAGCGCAAGCTACCTGCAATCACCAACATCAGCATACTATTTCGTAGACAAATCAGTCTACGTAGTATGATGTGATGCCGCATCAGAGCGAACAGACCATATAGACGGCTAGTTGGGAGATAAACCTAAAGGACTCAACCAATGGACGCAGTAGACGTAGTTGTTCCTCACGCGGCGCGTTGACTGACCGAAGTTTGTGTGGGCTTGTAGTGTACCTTTTACATTTTACTACACAACCTTCCGGTCAGCTGATAACATCACCAGCTGTATCGACTATTCTTTCAAACACCTCATACACTTCAACATCGACCAACATTCTTTTTGAATCGCCGGCTGACTCTAGACCACTTCGTGTACAACATCTGGGAGCCTAAAAATACAATCATGGGAATACACCTTTTCAATCCCTTTTGGCATTCGAGAATGACGGGTTATTAATGCAGGAACTCCGCAACCTAAAAGCGTTACCACCATACGTGCTGACCTAAATACGATAAGTGAAAACGATAAGTGGATACGATAAGCTACAGTGCTTTTCTTGTCTTTTGTTAAGCTGAATCAAAGGCAGAAACTCACTGGTCCCCAAACGTCGCTGTTTATGGAAGTTGCAAATCATATACATCGAAGCGTTCTGTGGGTCAACTATTGTGAATTCCATGCTGTTTCTCTTGCTAAATAAACCGGTTTATCGGATCGACCAGACTCAGGGATCGTACATACCCAGTTGTTTATGAGGCTCAGTACACAAATACAGTCGAGGTAGTAAGATTCATCCAATTGGGAATCACGCATGATGTAAACACTATGAACACAGTAGCGGTGCACACAGCGATGGGCTAATCTTATCTCTCCAAGTAACAGGCCATCATAAGAAAAGAGATACAAAGTGTTTAGGTACTTGCCCCCATCATGTTCGTCAGGGGCTCAAAAGACAGCTAAGTTTATCAGCCTGATTACGCATGTATTTGTAACACGCATCACCGGACACGAGCATACCAGTTGACTGTTAATTAACTGCCAGTAGACAATTCACTTCTTTCTCATCGTCAATGCAAAACTAGGAAAATAATGTATGAACAGGACCGACAATAAGTTTCGCTAAGTTCTCCTTATACTAATGGTGATGAATTACTTAGTGGTAAAGGCCCACCCATAGCTTAGCGAGTCCAGTTGATTCTCCAGTGTGAAGTTGCTGTCATCGGTAGAATGACCTGCAAGTGACATAAGTGGAACACTCACTTGATCGCGGCCGTCAAAGCTTCCGGTTTCCGATGCCATTTTTTCCAAGGATTGGAATGTATCCACGCTTGGTTGGAATACAAACACGCCGGAGTTGAAACAATCCGGCCAGGATGGATCTGGAGCGGCGCTCAGCTCCTCCCTCTCAAACAATTCATCAACGTTGTAAAGAACCTTAACAAAAGAAAAATAAGTGAACAGTAGCAGTCGGAGGAAGTGAACTTTGTTGAATGATAAGCCAACAAACAAGCGCCCCACAGTGGCAGTAATATGACTTAAAAGTTCTGGCGGAAGTTATGAAATATTTAAGCAGAAAATGCGTTGTGCGGTCAATACAAAGCCCAAAACATCATACGAATCAGAGAGTGGTTGAACAGAAAAGCCATCTGACTGCTGGAACGACGGCTCTGAATGGTGCGATATAAGCATCTCGTACGTTCGTTGCGTTCGTCCTGCGCCGTCAGGATCGAATGAAGTGTTCTACCGCCGTTACTGCGCAGATATACAACGTTGTGGGGCCTTCCGAAAACGGGGAATGGTCCATTTTCCGGGTAAAATGTATCAGGCGCGTGCATCTGGCTGGGATGATTCGCTGTTATCATGTTGGGCGTTTGGTTTTTCGTTTCAATAGTACTTGCTCTGCGAGCCAAGTTCCCTCCAATGGGTGTCGCTTTTTCTCTGGTGGCGCATGAACCAAGCGAGTTTCGCGGTCTTTTAGAAGTAGCTGGACTGATCGATACCTGTTTAGGTCAGTCGTGTATCAGTGATCCAACCTCATGGTTGACAGCATCCGGTTCCGGAGTTGTCTGTCATTGTGGCTTCTATAGGACAGCCACAGGAAGCCTGTGCCTACAGAGGGACCATGGGTGGCTTGTGCTGCACCACCCACAGCTCTATCCACCCATCCCGTATCCAGCGTCAACCCGAAGTAATAAGACCCGAACGCATGTGGATGAGAGCGACGTTTCATCAACGGGACCGGTCCACACTCCTCCAACAAGTCTTGCTGGTTGACGATCCACGCGTCGTCCAACTTGTATTAAACCGCTTGGCCATTGAAGTATCAAAGTACGGTATGTACTTTTCGCCATCCAAATGCAAGGCTCTCTTCCAAGACTGGCAGTTGCCTCTGCCTGCACTAACGCTTGCTGCTGAGACACTAGAGGTTGTGGAGAGATTTGTCTATTTGGGAAGTTGCATCACTGCTGGTGGGGCTGTTGGAGACGAGATTTCGATTCGCACCTCAAGAGCACCCCTCGCTTTTCTAGGCTGAGGCATTTGTGGCGTCGCCACGACATTCATCTTTCCATCAAAGGGCGCGTCTATTGTGCAACTGTTCGTGCTGTACCGTTGCACGGATGCGAGATCTGGCCCATTCGTAAAGATGACTTGCGCAGGCCACCCGTCTTCGAGCACCGCTGTCTGCGGTCCATTGCCCGAGTGTGGTGGCAGTACCACGTAAGTAATGTGGAAGTTAGACAGCGTGTCTTGGGACGTGGAAGTCACTCGCTCGAGGAGCTGGTTTCACTGCATCAATTGCGGTGGTTGGGACACGTATTGCGCATGCCTGTCAAGCGTTACCACCGTCGTGCATTGTTTGCACTTGCTGGACAGGGCTGGGGGAGACGGTCTGGTGGACAGCCTACAACATGGAGAAGCCGCATGAAAAAGCCGACGAAACAGTTGGCCTCGGCTGGTTGTTGTCGACTACCTGGTTGGGGTCCGAGAGGTGCGGATACTTGATGATTGAAGACCTTGGAAGCCATGACTCGAGATCGATGTCAATGGCGGACGTGTGTTGCGGTGTCCCTTCTTCCTCCCCCTAATAAAGAACAAACTGAAAAAATTTCAAAAACTGTGATTGGTAAAATGGGAAAAAAGCTTTTGTTGTTACCCTTTTCTTATTACTCATATTGTTTTCCTATTCAGCCATGATTCCGATGGCACAGTATCTGTACCACAGATCGTGTATTTTATATATATATATATATATATATATATATATATATATATATATATATATATATATATATATATATGCACAGCAGCAGACTTCACGTCTGTCTACCTAGGGAATCATGCGTACCAAACGCATACAAGGCGGGGACTGAGCCAAAGTCTTCTCCACATTGGATGGAACCACTGGTTGAACCTAGCATGGCCGAGAGGACCTGCACACCGTCCCCACCCCCCAGCAACGATTCAGAGTCTCCTGGAGCCAGTAATGGAGGTGGAGGGTGTTAGACCTTAGGCACTTTGTCCACATACAGATCAAGCGCAGCGACACCGGAGATATCAAATAACCAACATAGGATTTAATGGAATGCAAATACGCAAGGCTGACACATAATATGCACCAGAATAACAGAATTGAACAAACCAAGTAAAGAGGAAGGACATTTATCCAGATTGAAAAGACCAAAATTAAGTGTATGTTGGTTTAGCCCAACTGCGGTGTAGAAGCATCATGACTGCATCATCAACCTCATACGAGCATGGTTACATGTTTGTGCAACTAACCGACACACTGCCAATGTCCAATTGAGATCTCCGAATTGTCAACTACCTTTGCACCTTCCCCCACCACAATCGTTAGATATGTACTCTGAGTAACAGTACGGGTTGGCCACTATTCACTAGCTCGTGATACTTAAACGTATTACTTTAAAGAAAGAAAATGAAGGGGGTCCAGTATGCGTATAAGTAAAAGTGAGTGGGATCCAAAGTAAAACCCGAAGGTCGAGACTTGGCGACAAGGGCTGCAGTCACTCAGTTTCGGATCCAAATGATACGAACAATCGCACGTGATAACCCCGCAGGTTATATGTGTGGATAGGGGCATGCATATAGTGGTCTTTGAATTTGGCTGAGTTTCGTTTGCGGTTGCTGGGTAGGCTAACTGATGGTTCTACGCGCACACCGGCGACCACCCTGTGATTGATTGGTTATGCGTTTGTTCATGGATCGCTGATACTCATCACGCCTGTAATGAGTCATTCAGCAGAACACACGGTTCCAAGTGCGTCGTGTTTTTGTTCTGATTTCCATTCGTGCGTGTCCGTGGTACTGATAATGAGGTCGGATTGTGGCTAGGCTACTGCGCATACAGGGATACAACAGCGGTGAACTCCATTTCGATAAAAGAAAAGATGTTCTGTGTGGGGGTTCGGTGGAGGTTTCAAGGCCTTGTGTTCAATTCGGCTAATACACGTTCTTCTAAGCCCTCTAACTGGAACTTGGAATAAAAGCTGCTACCGACAATCAAATCAACCTCATGGAAACGGTACGTGGGTGGTACTATCGCGAACGCAAACGCATGCAAATGAGGATTACCGAAAGTCATTCAACAATGCCAAAAACGACATTCTGTAAAAAGTGGATTCACTGATGGAGAAAAAGCTTCCCTTCCTAGAACTGTTAGCTATCAGGACGATGTAAAGAAAAATGCAAATACCGACTAACATGAGGAATATATACCTTCACACCATAAATCGGACGTTTTTCAAACCACTTTGGACGTTTTGCAAAGCACGTTGGACGTCTTGCAAAACACATCGAAGGTTCTGCAAAGTAAATTGGACGTTACGCAAAATGAACTTTACACATTATTCCTGTCAGAAAATCATGAAACTTTCAGCAAGAACTGAGGAGTAAGATTATTGGACGACCTCTAGAGCACTTTTTTCAAAATGTAACCAAACTGTGCAGGTAGCTGGCGATGGTGCGAACCCCTCTCTTGATCACGGGTGTCACCTCGATCAAAGATTTCCTCTGTCCCTCTAGTGACCTCGTATTTCGTGTGGGTGTGTCGTCGCATCTGCGCAGCTGCACCACTACTATGACAAACGCCTTGTGCTGAATGAAACGACCAAGGTGAGTGACGGAAGAGCCCAACTCCGATACTGCCAGCGTACAAACGAATGTCATAGACACAGAACGACATTCTCACCAAGCATCTTTTCTTCGACAGCAAGACCACTCAGAAAAATGCTGAATACGACTATAACAACGATAGCAATGCATTACCATTAATGCCTATACGCAAGTGGGCACAATTACTCGGCACAAATGTGGAAGAAACAACAGTGAGTGACGAATTCCCGACGTCATACAACGCGTTGAACAGACCACCGAACGGCATTCGCAGCTGTGGCAGCGGCTGATTGAGAACGGCATCCACCTGTCCGTGTCTACAGTCTTCAACGCACTCAGAAGACTGGAGATTTCGCTGAAGAAATGGCACTGCGAACTAGACCGTGTCAACAGTACTCCGACCGTCGCGAATCAGCAGGCATAGGTTCTGGACTTCTCGGTATATGCGCCGCATGAAAGGAGCAATCTCCATCTGCGGCGTACACCGGCTTAATCAAGAAGGGGGAGGCGGGCGAACGTTCTTTTACCTATGGACAGAGGCCGCAGGGTGACGTTGATAGTGGTAATGAATAACCAAGGGATCATCCACCGCAAAATGATCAGCAATGGCACATGCAGTGGGACTAAGTTCCCCGTTTTCATCGAGGAACTTGCGGTACAGCTACGCTGCAGAGTGAAGATGAACGGTGCTCATCATGGACAACGCGCGCATCCCCATGACAGATTATCTACGGAGGACTCTGGGCTCCACTTATCAGCTGAAGTCCCTGCCGCCCTACGCGTACATGCCGAACCCTGTGGAATATATTTTCATAGGTGAAAGCGCCGACAAAACACCTGCTGACGAACCCGAGATCTGAGCAGTCGCTAAGTGCGGTCATACAAGAGAGCGTTGGGATGGTTACCCAGAAGTGCTGCAGTAACTGCGTCCTCAACGTTATGCTGAACGTGGCAAATGCGGCATCCGGGCAGCCATACGTCAACTGACCGCCTCTATGACATAAATGATTTCTTTCTTGTCTATACACATTTACCTTTTACAGCGAGAGATTTTCTATCCAAACTGCCAGGGTTAGCAAGTATGAGTAGGTCGGTCACCGAAAGTAGGCAGTGCAGTCATGCGGACTTGCGACTGTCGTAAAACTTTTGACACTGTTCAGCTCGAAGTGGCAGTTCTTCGGCGTTACTTCAGAGCGTTGAAGACTGTAGACATGAAAGGTGGATCCCGTTCTCTTAGCCACTGCTGCAGCTGCACCAAACGCCCTTGGAATGAGCTGTGTCTGACAGTGTAAGAGTAGAGA